TCAGCCTGTAATCCAGCACTTTGGGAAGCCAAGGCGAGAGGATTGCCTGAGCCCGGGGGTTGGAGACCAGCCCGGACAACTTGGTGAGACCTTGTCTCTACAATAAATCACAAAAAAACTAGCCAGGCATGGTGGTGTGTGTCTGTAGTTCCAGCTACTCGGAAGGCTGAGGAGGAAGGATCACCTAAGCCCAGCAGGCGAGGCTGCAGTGGCCATGAGCGTGCCACTGCACTCCAACCTGGGTGACAAGAGTGAGACTCCAACTCAGAAAAAAAAAAAAACAGAAGCCTCATGGTAATGCCCCTAAAGATTGCAGGACTGCCTTAGGTTGTAGTAAAAAGGAATTATTTGCTTACAGTCAAGGCATAGAGAGATTATGTTTTGAGGAAAGAACAAAAATATCTAACCAATCTTGAAGTATTATTATTTCTAGATCCCACAGTTTTTTTAAAAGTAAGTTTTTAGCTCTTATCATTGTATGTAACGTGTATATCCATATATTCCAGTTCAGATGTTATAATTGTTGAAGCCCTCATGTTCTTTATAATCTCATTTATATTATTTAAAAGACCTTTTTTTCTGATAACAAAAGTAATGTGTGAAATTTGGAAAATTTAGATAAGTTCCAAAAATGTTTTAAATAATTTATGACCCACTGTCTCCTGAGAATAGCCACCATTAATGTTTTCTGTATATATTGTGTTAGTCTATTTGTGTATGTGTGTATACTTTTTTAAAAATGGAGTCTGGTTTACGCCTGTAATCCCAGCATTTTGGAAGGCGGAGGTAAGGATTGCCTGAGCCCAGGAGATTGAGACTAGCCTGGGCAACTTGGCGAGACCTCGTCTTACAATAAATCAATAAAAATTAGCCAGGTGTGATGGCACACACACCTGTATTTCCAGCCATTTGGAAGGCTGAGGCAGAAGGGTCACCTGAGACCAGCAAGTTGAGACTACAGTGGCTGTGAGCATGCCACTGCACTCCAGCCTGGACACAGAGTGAGACTCCAACTCAGGAAAAAAAATATGGAGTCATACTGTTTTGTGACATTTTTTTCACTTCAGGTTGTGAACATTTTCTGTGTCTTAAATATAATTCTTCAGCATTATTTTTAATGACTATTAATATTAAATTGTGTGAATATGCCTATATTTATTTAAGCAATCCCCCATTGCTCAGCACTTAATTTGTTTGCATTTTTAGTTATCAGGAGCCATACTGCAGTGAACATATGTCTACTACTTTACTTTGGCGCACATCTTTGATTAGTCCTTAGGATCAATTCCTAGAAGAAGAAAAGTTGGGTTCAAAAGATTTGTTGTTTTAAAGCTTTAGATACATATCTTTGTAGCCTTATGTAAATGATTAAGGGTTTATGAGTTCTCTCATCAAGAAATTCTGGAAGGGAAAAAGTATGAGCCAAAAATGAGATTCTGTTTTATTTATTTTATAACTGAATTTTGGACTCTGGGACCCTCCCCTAAAAGTCTGTTCATCTCTTTTAGCCAAGACTGTTGACAGTTTTTCCACAATGGCCAGTAGACCACTTTTCTCATGAGTTCAATTTTTCCTATTTCTGAAATACTCCCTCTTAAACCAAATACCAACTTCTCCCTGATACCTGTTTTCCATAAGTGCGTTGGAATTTACTGGTAAATCTGTCAGTTCCAGGTACTTCTCATGATCTGTCAGCCACATCATCCATTCCTGCTCTGTGCAGAAATTCTGTCAGTCTCTGGTTTTATGTGTGTGTATCTATCTATCTTCCTCTTTCATACATACTCCAATACCCTGAACATTCCACCCTCATCCTTCCTCTCCCCATAATTTGAAGGTTTTAAAAAAATAAAGTCATTCTTTGCCAAAGAAAAGTTGGGGATTAGTATGTTAAACAGTATTATTATCTTTTAAATTGGGAATAAATGTAAGCACAAAGAGTAAAATAAAGATCACTTATCCCACAATCCAGAGAAAACAATTCTTAACCTATTACTTTCTAAAAGTTCTCCATTCTTTAGTTAGACACAAAACCTACTAATAACTGCTTATGTGATAAACTACATTTGGTTTTTAGGGTCTTCACTTGTTCTGTCTCCTACTTATATTGGTGATAACTCGAAGGTCTCAGGATCTAAATGCATTGTTGAGGTTCAGACGCATAGAAGAGCAAGTAGACATATCCTGTATGTCTGCTAAAAGGAGCCTTTTCATTTTGTCATTGTTCTACAACATAGTATTTGATTTTTGATTGATGATATGACTTTCAAAAAGGTTTATTTCAGAAATAAATAAGAAACAGGCCTGGTCAATTTAGGTGCCTAACTGTTCAGCAGATTGCAGGATATCCTACTGAGGACTAGTGCTGCTGTGCGCCAGAAAAGAGATTTGCTGGCCAGAAACAAAGTGTAGTGTTTTCCTTGTCAGCTCTGGGATCAGGGAGCTTATCTTTAATCCTGTATTGCAGTTAACCAAAGGATAGCACATGTAGCAGATGCATCCCTACATTTGGTACTTATGAAGAAATTCAACTAGATTTTTTTAAATGTTAGCAATGCCCTCATCTCCCTTTTAATATATTGATAGTGAAGCCCAAGTAAGGTAGTATGTATAAATTAAATATTTTATTGCCAAATAGTTTCCAGTCTCAAAGCAAGCATTGCCATAGCCACATCTGAATAAACAAAGGAGAATGTCTGCCTTAAAGCAGGTGGGCATGTGGCTTTTTCTCAGTTCTAGGAATCATGGTAAATATTGGAATTAAGACAGTAGTTATAGCAATGAATCAAAGAGAAGTTAAAAGCCGGAGATGAGTGCCAATGAGACAGATAGAAAAGCAGCAAAGTCTGGGACTAGTCCTAGAGAGAGTATAGCCAGTTCTCTATTTATGCGGTTACTTATCTTGCTTGTCAATTATCTAGGTTCTCAATTTTGTACATACTTATTCCTTTCTTTTTTCTGCCGTTTTTTCATCCCTTGACTCCTTACTAGATATTGACAGGGACTTTGAATCCTGGCAGAGAGTACTAAATTCTCATCAATCAATTTTACTTTTGGTAAAATTAGTTCTGGTAAAAACTAGTTCTGGTAAAAAGATTGATGGAAACATAGTGGAAATATTACTTTATTTTACATTCTGTGTTCTTTAATTACCAATACTATCCCCTTTATTTTTCTGTGGATAATTAAGACGTGGCTGAACATAGTTGAATAGCACAGGCATGAGGTAGAGGTTTGTAGCAGATAATTTTATTATTTATAATAATATCCTGAACACTTGGTATCTGAGCACCAAATGTATTTGTCATTTGTATTTTAGTAATTAATATATTTCTTATTTCATAAGAAAACTAAATAATTGGCATCATTTCTAAAAATAAGTAAATTACAATGCAAGCATCATAAAGTCATGTGAAGCCTGGAACCATGACTCACACCTGTAATTGCAGCACTTTGGGAGTCCGAGGAGGAAGGATTACTTGAGCCCAGAAGTTCAAGATCAGCCTGGAAAACATAGCAAGACCCATTTCTACAAAAAATTTTAAAAATTAACCAGGTGTGGTGGCATGCTTTCTAGTTCTAGCTACCCCAGAGGCTGAGGCAGGAGAATCACTTGCGTTTGAAGCTGCAGTGAGCTAGAAATGCCCCACTGCGCTTCAGACTGAGTGACAGAGTGAGATCTTGTCTCTTAAAAAATAAAAATAAATAAACAGTGTGGATGGATTTATGACTGATTTGTCATACTCAATGATCTATCACAAAAGCAGAAAACTGAGTACCACATGTTCTCACTCATATGTGGACCTTGAACAATTACTATAATGCTATAAGAAAGGGAATGGCGGTAGTGGGAGACTGCCAGGGGAGGGGGACACACCTCATCAACGAGAGTACCTGCATAATGAATATTTGTATACCTAACCCTGAATTGTACCCCACATATTTAAAATGAAAAAAATAAAAATAAAGCAATATGAAAAGAAAGGATTATTTAACAAATTGTTTCAGAATCATGAAATAGCAATATGGGCCAGGCTCGGTGGCTCAGCCTGTAATCCCAGCAATTTGGGAGGCAGAAGTGAGTGGATTGCCTGAGCCCGTGGGTTCGAGACCCGTCTGGGCAACTTGGTGAGACCTCATCTCTACAATAAATCAAAAAACTAGTTGAATGTGGTAGTACTAGCGCGCCTGTAGTTCCAGCTACTCGGAAGGCTGAGGCGGAAGGATCACTGGAGCCCAGCAGGTCGAGGCTGCAGTGGCCGGGAGCGGCCATTGCACTCCAGTCTGGGCGACAGAGTGAGACTCCAACTCAAAAAAAAAAAAGAAAAAGAAATAGCAATATGGAAAAAATTTACATCTATCCTCACCAAAATAAGCTCCAGATGGATGTAAAAGTTAAATTTTGTAAAAACAACTATAGATAGCTTTTAGAAGATAGACCAGGCAGTAGAAGAAATCCCAAAGGAAATTAGACATTTATATAAAACATTTTGTTCAAAAATAATTTTTAAAAACTTGTAAAAATGTCATTTTTTTGGTATCAAATAAATATGGAAAGAACTTCTTCAAGTTTATGAGAATTATATGACCCTAATAGATAAATGGACAAAAGAGTTTTGATAATTTCTACAAAGCAGAGGTGAGTATTAAACAATTGTGGACGAAATACTCTACATCACTGGCAATTAAACTAATGCAAACTTATAAGACACTATTTTATACCTCATTAAATTAGAAAAAAATGATAATATTTACGGCTGGCACAGGTGTGGTGAAACCAATAAATTCATACATTGCCACTGTCAGCAAAAACTAGCGAAATCCTTTGGAATAACAATTTGGAACATATGTATTCCAAGAGCTAGGAAACTTTGGGATTGAATCTGGGGAAATAATAATCAAATTTAAATTCACAAGACAAAAAGATGGAAACACTTAAGCACCAAAGGTAGGAGGGTCCAGTTAAAAACAACAATTAAAACGTATAATATAGCCGGGCTCAGTGGCTCAGCCTGTAATCCTGCGCTTTGGGAAGCTGAGGCGAGTGGATTGCCTGAGCCCGCGGGTTCGAGACCCGCCTGGGCAACTTGGCGAGACCTCATCTCTACAATAAAATCAAAAAATTAGCCGGGCATGGTAGCGCGCGCCTGCAGTTCCGGATACTCGGAAGGCTGAGGCGGAAGGATCGCTGGAGCCCAGCAGGTCGAGGCTGTGGTGGCCGGGAGCGGCCACTGCACTCCAGTCTGGGCAACGGAGTGAGACTCCAACTCAAAATTTTAAAAAAAGGTATAATAAAAACTGTACACAAAGGATACATAATATATGAAAAAAGTACAAGAAAAGTATACACCACACACAACTTTTATATAGCTATAAACATGAACAAAAATTAGGAGGGAAAATGACAAGTGAATTTGGGATGGGATTTCAGATAATATATTTGTTTTTTCTGATTTTTTAAAATTTTGTCTAATGTTTAACAGTAAATAAATATTGAGTTAATGGGGTGGGGGAAGACACCCAAACATTGATCTAATCTTAGCAGTTACTGTATTAAAAATTAGGGTAACTTGGGCTTGTATAATGTTGTTCAAAGACATACGGGGGTAGACCCATGAAAAACTGGAATTTATTTATAAAAAATTATGCATTTACTCTTACATGTTTAAACTTCAGTCACCCTCAAAGTCCTCTCCGTCTGATGCAGTACACCTGGTAAGACACTTTTTCCACTGCTCAAAACAATTTTTGAGCTCATCAATTTTGATGCCTTTTAGTTCTTTTGCCTTTCTGTTTGTTTGTTTATTTGTTTGTTTCCCCTCTTCCATCCGAAAAACATCTCCCTTTGAGGACTTTTTTCATGGGAGAAACCAAAAAAAAAAAACCCCAAAAGTCATTTGGGCGAGATCGGGTGAATGGAGAGGGTGGGCATGGGGGTCATAGCGTTTTGGGTCAAAACTGCTGAACACTCAGCGCCGTGTGGGCAGGTACGTGTCATGGTAAAAGAACCAGTCACTTGTTTGCTGCGACTCGGGCATTTCTTCCCCAAATCAGCAAATTGTGATGCAACTTTCTCAAAACTTCCAGATGAAAACTCTGGTTGACTGATCCGGAGGAGCAAGTTCTGAGTGTACTACAAGGGGCCTGCCCTCCAGAAGATAATTTCATTTTGGGGGGTAACCACACATATTGCCCAGTTATGTTCTTGTACCAGAGTCCAGTAAAAAATACTTTATTCATCCCCACAGAATGGTCAGAGCGACACTGTTTTTAGTCCTTCACTGGACCCCTTATGAGGAAAATTTCTTACAACGTGCCATCAACAACTGTATACCGCGTGTGCTGCACGAATAACCGGTGGGAATGAGAGTGAGATTTCATGCGCCACTTAATATTTGTCATAGAAGTCCTAAAGAGACGGAAAATAGACACAGCTGTAACTTGATGTTTGCTTGCAAATCTCACATTAGTGATTTCGTATTCATGAGCTATTTCTTATTTTAGGGAGATGTGCTTTTATAGAGCATCTATTCAATTTCAATAGAGCAGAAACCTTTAATATTGATCACATCAGGAGAATGGACGAATACCCGTGTTGTGACCACCCTTACTACTACTCTTTTCTGTGCTACATAGTTATAATTTAAAGATCAAGTTTTAGCCATTATAATGAGAAAACACGTATTACAAATCTATAGAATTTCTTTTTTCTTAAGGTAGGGAAAATTAGAGAAGTGGGAAATTGTAGCCCACTTCTAGATACAGATGAACTCTTCTTTCTGCTCTGGCTTCATCAGTGTAGTAGACAGTGAATTGATTTGCTTTCAAGGTCAGAATATCTTTTGAGGCTAACTCAGCACTACTTTGTTCCATTTTCTGCAAGCAGTGGCCTTTTAGTGATCTGACAAGAATCTCTCATAACCTTTAAACATTGTCATCTTCCTTCTTCTCACTCTGTGGGGCTCCAAACTCTTTGATTTTTATTTCTTAACTGTGGTAATACCATGGTAAGAAGCGATACAAGAAGGATCAGTGGATTATATTTTTTTTAAGTTTCATGAGATTAAAGCACATATTGATTGAATTTTTGAAGCTCTTTACTTAAAATAGCATTTTATTCATTATTAAAGTGATACAGACTTATGGTTAAAAAATAATAATAATGCAGAAAAGGATAAAGAAACACAATATGAGTCACAAATAATGCCATCACTTAGAAATGACCCCTGTTAAGTTTTTGTTGCAACAACAACAACAACAAAAATCAAACTCTAAGGAAAAGAGAAACTTGAAAACATTGTAGCTATATGAGTAAACATATCATGACTAATGACTAATAGCCCTCTCAGTGATTTCAGGAGAGGCAATGTGGTATAATGGAAAAACACTGCTCCTGGAACCCCAGTGCTGTGGTTCTAGGTCCAGTTCTGTCACTTATCAGCTATGTGATTTTGGATAATTTACTTAACCACCCTATGCCCTTGGTTTTTTCATCTTTAAACAAGTATAATAAAGCCAGACCTGTCAGGTTGTTGTAAGGATTGGACATATGCTATCTATAAAGCTTTATGCTGGTGCATGGTATATAGTAAGTACTCAGTGAAAGGTAAATATTAATATAAGTAGTATGCATAATTAGGTTCTTAAGAGAGTATCATTAAAAACTCATTCAGGCTGGGTATGGTGGCTCACACCTGTAATCCCAGCACTTTGGGAGGCTGAGGTGAGAGGATTGCTTGAGCCCAGGAGTTCAAGACCAGCCTAGGCAACATAGCGAGACCTTGTCTCTATAGAAAATAAAGACATTAGCCGGGTGCGCCTGTAGTCCCAGCTACTCAGGAGGCTGAGGCAGGAGAATCACCTGAGCCCAGGCAGTCAAGGCTGCGGTGAGCTGTGATGGTGTCATTACACACCAGCCTGAGCAACAAGCAAGACCCCTGACTCAAAAAACAAACAAGGCCGGGTGCAGTGGCTCAAGCCTGTAATCCTAGCACTTGGGGAGGCTGAGGTGAGGGGACTGTCTTAGCTCACGGGTTCAAGAACAGCCTGGGCAACTCAGCGAGACCTCATCTCTACAATAAATCAAAAAATTAGCGGGGCATGGTGGCTCGCACCTGTAGCTCCGACTACTTGAAAGGCTGAGGCAGAGGGCTCACCTGAGCCCAGCAGGTTGATGCTGGGGTGGCCATGAGCATGCCTGGGCAACAGAGTGAGACTCCAACTTAAACAAACAAACAAACAAAAACAAAACTCAATCAGCAAGAAATCAATAAGCATTTGCAGTAGAAATTCACAGAGAGCCGGACTTGGTGGCTCAGCCTGTAATCCCGCGCCTTTGGGAGGCTGAGGTGAGTGGATTGCCTGAGCCCACGGGTGAGACCCGCCTGGGCAGGTGAGACCTCATCTCTACAAAAAATCAGCCGGGCGTAGTAGCGTATGCCTGTAATTCCGGCTACTGGGAAGGCTGAGGCGGAAGGATCACCAGAGCCCAGCAGGTCGAGGCTGCGGTGACCAGGAGCGGCCACTGCACTCCAGTTTGGGCGACAGAGTGAGACTCCAACTCAAAAAAAAAAAAAAAAAGAAAGAAATTCACAGAGGTCTATAACAACACCCATAATGGGTGATGGTTAGGGGTAGTGGTGTAGAGGGAGATGGGAAAATGGACTGAACATTCAGGCTTGAGGTGAGATAGGGCTGCAGGAATGTCAGGATATGTTTTGTTTAGAATAGAATATATCAGAGATCTCTGGTCTGCTTTACTTCAGTGGTTAAAAATTGATACAAACTAATGCATATGAATATTTGATCTATAGTCCCAAGGTGCATAGGAAAGCGATGTCTTTTGGTGGGAGACAGAGGGTGATGACGAAATCGGTACCTTCAGATGGCCTTGTAGAATGGTTCAATTCTGAGATCTCTTCAAGCTTATTTCTCACTTGTGTGCCTAGATACTTGGGAAGTGCCATTTGAAGAGATCTCAGAGCTGCAGTGGCTGGGTAGTGGAGCCCAAGGAGCTGTCTTCTTGGGCAAGTTCCGAGCGGAAGAGGTGGCCATCAAGAAAGTGAGAGAACAGAATGAGACGGATATCAAGCATTTGAGGAAGTTGAAGCACCCTAACATCATCGCATTCAAGTAGGTCAAGGCTTGTTGGGTTTTTTTGGTGTTTTTTGTTTTTTGTTTTACGACATTTTCTTTCCCCCAATGTATGCAGTCAAGTTTCTGCTTTAAGAAGCATTTCAGAAACATCCTGTAGACTTAGCACTGCACTAGGTGCTATATGGGAGGGAACCAAAGAACTGTTAAATTTGAGTCTTGTCCTTAAGCAGCTCATAATCCAGTAGTTCATTTTGCCAGAGTATGTGCTGCTTGGAAGGGGGGTACACATGGGGCAGGGGAGGAAGAAGTGGATTCCTGCCAAGCAGTCAGATCTGCTGCATCAATGTCATTTATCAGTGGGATGACAGAGGTTACTTCATATAACCTAAGCATCCTGCAATTCAGTTAAGAAAACGAAGCTAATATCTGAAGTGGTCAGTGAACAATCAGTCTCTGTGTAATAAATAACGTGTTCTTATTAGTTTCTGTTGGCATCCTTTCTTAAATATTAACTTATAATAACAGGTACCTATAGACTGTTGCTTTGGATTTTGCTAGATCCCCTTTCAAGTAATGCCACTCAGCTTTCTAAATCTCATGACAGCAGAGTTATCAATATTAGTAAGCTATATTCGTTTCACAAAGTGGTTGTTCTTGAGAGTATGTGAGCATATTTTTCTAATCTAGACCATTCTCTTCATAATATTGACCGGGATCCTTAACAGAAGGAATATAGTCAAAGGTTAAATTGTCTAAGGCACCAAACTTGGAAGTGCTGAGCTTTAAATATATGTAATTTCTTCTGCCTGAATCTTGAGTTCTCTCCCTTGCTAGCCTTTAAATGTTGTTCTAGGCTTGAACAAATAAATGGTAATTTAGAGGAGGAAAGGGAAGAACAGGAAAGGTAACCTTTAGGTAGGATGAAAGTTTAGGCAGGGCTCAGTGGCTCAGTGAATTGCCCGAGTGAATTCACCCGAGGCGAGTGAATTGCCTGAGCCCGCGGGTTCGAGACCAGCCCGGGCAACTTGGTGAGACCTCATCTCTACAATAAATCAAAAATTACCTGATTGTGGTAGTGCATGTCTGTAGTTCCGGCTACTGGGAAGGCTGAGGCAGAAGAATCGCCTAAGCCCAGCAGGTCAACTCTGGGGTGGCCATGAGTGTGCCACTGCACTCCAGCCTGGGTGACAGGATGAGATTCCAACTCAAAAAAGAAAAGTTTAGAAACCAGAGCTTCTTGGTGTATTTGTATGTACTTTTCATTCCTGGAGAACACTATGACCAATGAAGCTACACCTAAGAGTGGAGAAACTTATAAATCCCCCTTCCCCAAACTAGAAGGAACTTCTCCCAACCTCAAGAGGGAGCCTTCCTTGATAAAACTCTCATTGTAAAGCTAAAAATGCCATGTGATAAGTCTTCATTGGAATCACACCCCCAAAGTAAGGAAGAGAAATCTTAGGTACAGGTTTTGTAGAAGGGGTTTAAATGAGTACTGAGGTGGCATTTTGATTCTCAAACAAGACCCCTTTGGGGAAGGGAAAGATGTGTGAAAGGAAGGGACACATTCAGCTGGAATACTAAGAGACTGAGAAAAGTATTAGGAATAATTTCCCTGTGGAAGGGACATTCATAGCTGGCAGAGGACATGAGAGAGCTTTAGTTGTATAGTCATTCTGTCACTGGTTGCCTTGCTAGGACCAGGAGGATATGTGATTCAAATGAAATGCCATAGAGACCAACTATAATCTTACCAAAGATGATAAATGTCAGAAGACAATGGAAGGATTATTTTAAAGAGGTAGACTATCAGAGACCCCCCCCTTCTTTTCTTCATTTAACTTCACTGAGATGATCACCACGTCCAGTATTCTACATCTTCCCAATTGGAAGGAAGAGTCAGGAACTTCTAAACTTAGATAGCTAGGACATTGACTTTGAAACACGAAATGTTTTTAGATTAGTATGGCATTTTGGCTTTTTGAAGTGACCTAGGCTGTGTGTCCCAGATAAGAGGGCTTCCCAGCAGGGTATCCTGAGTAACTAAAGGTAGAAATGTGGTAAGATGGAAGTATGAGAAGCTTTGTTTTTACTTCCTGTGTTCTGCTTTTTCCTTTTTCCTCCTAGTCTTTTTCCCACCTCACCCTTCTGGCCTCCTACCTACATATGTAGTTGTCAGCATCATTGGACATGTATTGCCATGTTAGTGCCTAACTCTTGAGGCTGGAGATACTTGAATAGTCTTTACCTCTACATGGAAAACAATAGTGAGACTGTGTCCCTGATCCATTACACCATGCTCTTAGGCATTGTGCAGTGTTATGTTTGCAGCCATCTGTGCCATGTGTTGCTTGGCCAATGAATCCCATTCAGGACCATCTGGAAGATATGAGGGTGTAATGAGATTTTAGTACATCTCTCTAGATACTGATTTCTGGGCTTACAGTTTCTTTTGAAGTTAGTAGGAACCATGGACAGAAGGAGAAGTATAAAATAAGGATACTAAGCCGGGTTCGGTGGCTCAGCCTGTAATCCCGTGCCTTTGGGAGGCTGAAGTGAGTGGATTGCCTGAGCCTGCAGGTTCGAGACCCGCCTGGGCAGCGAGACGTCATCTCTACAATAAATCAAAAAATCAGCCGGGCATGGTAGCGCATGCCTGTAATTTCAGCTACTTGGAAGGCTGAGGCAGAAGGGTTGCCGAAGCCCAGCAGGTCGAGGCTGTGGTGGCCGGGGGCGGCCACTGCACTCCAGTCTGGGCGACAGAGTGAGACTCCAACTCAAAACAATAAAATAAAATAAAATAAGAATACTAAATCTCATGATAGCAGAGTTATCATAATAGCAGATTTAGTATTCTTATCTTATACTTTGCCTATATTCTTTTTTCATCCATTTAAAAAAATCTTTTAGCTGGGCTCGGTGGCTCAGCCTGTAATCCCGTGCCTTGGGAGGCTGAGGTGAGTGGATTGCCTGAGCCCGCGGGTTCGAGACCTGCCTGGGCAACTTGGTGAGATCTCATCTCTACAATAAATAAAAAATTAGCTAGGCGTGGTAGCGTGCGCCTGTGATTCCGGCTACTCGGAAGGCTGAGGTGGAAGGATCACCGGAGCGCAGCAGGTGGAGGCTGTGGTGGCTAGGAGCGGCCACTGCACTCCAGTCTGGGTGACTGTGAGACTCCAACTCAAAAAAAAAAAAAAATCTTTTAAGAAATCCCAACATAACTGTTCCTAATGGAATTCAGTGCCAAGGGGAAGAAAAGGTAGCGATTAGAAGTGATTATAGGGCTGTTATTTATAGCTACTAAGAAACCTTGTCATAGTACAGGGCTGATGCAATGATTGCTCCTCATTCCTCAGTCAAAAGAGATTAAACGTGCATAACATGTCACTGTTAGACCCTTTCTGTATTTGTATTATAAGTTAAAACATAGTTGAATAAGTACCTTCAAACAAATATTTATCTTGATATTCTTAAGCTCATTGCATTATTCCTGCCCTATTCATTATTTCTTTGTAATGATAATTAAATCATTTGTTTGTAGTTGCTGTATGCTTATGCTTCACCAAGCATTCTTAAAAGTCATATAACAGAACTTGAAAAAAATTGTATTAAAAATCAAGATGAGAATTCTCGGCTGGGCTCAGTGGCTCAGCCTGTAATCCCAGCACTTTGGGAGGCTGAGGTGAGTGGATTGCCTGAGTCCGCGGGTTCGAGACCTGCCTGGGCAACTTGGCAAGACCTCATCTCTACAATAAATCAAAAATTAGCCGGGTGTAGTAGTGCGTGCCTGTAGTTCTAGCTATTTGGAAGGCTGAGGCGGAAGGATCACCGGAGCCCAGCAGGTCGAGGCTGCGGTGACCGGGAACAACCACTGCACTCTAGTCTAGGTGACAGAGTGAGACTCCAACTCAAAAAAAAAAAAAAAAAAAGAATTCTGGGTAGCCTAGAAAATGATAGGAGAGTAATAGAAATTGCTTTGTGGCATTTGACAGGCTCATCAAAGCAGAGAAAAATGAAGACGAATTATACTTCTTCATAACCTGCTATTGTTATAAAATCTTTGCATGATCAGTGCCTTCTGCCATGACCTCTAAATTCTTTTATCACGTATTCCTAAGAGATAGAGCAGGAGTTGATATCTGGCTGAAAACTTTAACTGGATGTCTTACAGATAGTGTACTCTGTTAACTTCTCTAGAAAGTTTCAAAGGAAGGCATATATACCCATAAGAGATGAGACACAAAACTATATATGGTCATTCTTCTTCTCTCATTCTGAAAACAAAACTGTGAAGTAGATTTACCATGATCATCTCCACTTTTATGAAATAATGATATTAGCACAAGAATCCCTAATATGCTTTTCTATGCAGAAGCTAAAGAGCTGCAAGGGAGGCAGTGTAGTATAGTGAATGATAGGTGCATGGGCTTTGAAGTTAGGCAGACTGGGTTTCAGTCCAAGCTCTGTCCCCCGTGAGTCATATGATCTAGTTATGAGTAGGACAAGCCACTTTCTCATTCTGAGCCTTACCTTAAAACTGAAAAAAGTACTATCTATCTTATAATGGTTTGGAGCATTGTAAATAAGACAAATAAACATGGAAACATGCCTGAAAAAGTAGATGTTCTTTCATGTAAGTATCCTGCCTCCTACTCCATGCCTTTGCATGTGTCATTGTGAAGACTTTTTTCAGCTAAGAAAGTTGCGGTGAAGTTAAGAAACATTTATCAAAGACTTGCTGTGAACCTCTAGGCCTTGTAGTGGAAAAGAAAAGATCTTAAAGTCCTAGAAAGTCCTTTCCCTTCTAGGAGCCTATAATCTACATGGGGAGAGAGAGAGGGAGAGAGAAAGAGAGAGAGAGAGAGAGAGAGAGAGAGAGAGAGAGAGAGAAAGAAAAGCACTAATGACTGCTATATACTGTAGGAATTTAGAGAAGAGAAAGATCTTTTGGGACTGGAATAATCAGGAAAGTCTTCATGGAAGATGTAGAAATTCATGGAAATATAGATGCATACATAGATATATAATATGTTGTATAACATTACTTTTATTCTAAACAAATATTTTTCAAATATGTAAGCTTATATAAGATAGAAAACTGACTTTTTTTTGGTCCTCAGTCTAGTTAGTTATTTTAAATTTGAGTAGTTTAAAATTCAACAAATAAGCCGGGCTCGGTGGCTCAGCCTGTAATCCCAGCACTTTGGGAGGCTGAGGTGAGAGGATTGCCTGAGCCCGCAGGTTCGAGACCCACCTGGGCAACTTGGCGAGACCTCATCTCTACAATAAATCAAAAACATTAGCCGGGCATGGCAGCGCATGACTGTAATTCCAGCTACTTGGAAGGCTGAGGCAGAAGGATCACCGGAACCCAGCAGGTTGAGGCTGTGGTGGCCGAGAGTGGCCACTGCACTCCAGTCTGGGTGACAGAGTGAGACTCCAACTCAAAAAAAAAAACAAATTCAACAAATAATATTTAAAATAATAACATTTTGAATTCTATTTCTGTATACTACATATAAAACCCTCTATTTAAGTCTGAAAGAAAGATATTTTAAATTGTTCTTAACAATCTAAAACAACATCGTATCCAACCTACACAAACCTCAGGAAAGGGTGCTCTTTGTCCCATAATGGAATGTCCCATAAAAAAGGCACCAGATGCAGCAAAGCACATCAGTATCTGGAGTAAACAAAACAAGTAAAAATTGTCCATGTGCTTTCTAATAGGGAAACCTATTGACTAGGGAGGTTTTAATGCTAATTTAAGAATCAGGAAGGCTGGGCATGGTGGCTCACACCTGTAATCCCAGCACTTTGGGAGACCAAGGTGAGAGGCTTGCCTGAGACCACAGGTTTGAGACCAGCCTGAGCAACTTGGTAAGACCTCATCTCTACAATAAACCAAAAAACTATCTGGGCGTGGCCGGGCTCAGTGGCTCAGCCTGTAATCCCGCGCCTTGGGAGGCTGAGGTGAGTGGATTGCCTGAGCCTGTGGGTTCGAGACCTGCCTGGGCAGCGAGACCTCATCTCTACAATAAATCAAAAAATCAGCTGGGCGTGATAGCGCATGCCTGTAATTTCAGCAACTTGGAAGGCTGAGGCAGAAGGATCGCCTGAGCCCAGTAGGTGGATGCTAGGGTGGCCATGAGCGTTCCACTGCACTCCAGTCTGGGTGACAGAGTGAGACTCCAACTCAAAAAAAAAAAAGAATAAAGAAAAAAAATCAGAAACTATTATCTATACACATTTTTAAAATAATTTGGATACAAAATTGTTTTTTATTAAGTTTATGAAATATTCTTAAATATATATTTGTATACATATGTGTGTATTTATGTACTTGTTTGTGTTTTCTTGGAAGGGGTGTTTGCACTCAGGCCCCATGTTACTGTATTATCATGGAATACTGTGCCCACGGACAACTCTATGAGGTCTTGCGAGCCGGCAGGAAGATTACACCTCGATTGCTAGTCGACTGGTCCACAGGAATTGCGAGTGGAATGAATTATTTGCACCTCCACAAAATTATTCATCGTGATCTCAAATCACCTAAGTGAGTTCGGGAGCTAATTTTTTAGCTGTTTTGTTTTGTTGTTTTAAAAGAAGGAATTTCTATCAATCATTTAATGCAGTTTTCAGACATCATGCTTTCAGTTCAGTTTAAATCAGCACAGTGGGTAATTCTGTTTGCACACCTTTCAGATTATTGTTGACCTATGACCTAGATACTTATATGGGCAGGTGTGTCCAGCTTCCTGACATTAATTTTCTCTTTTTGTTGCTTTTAAATTATACATCTGTGAAACAAAATTCATTACCATCTGAAGTATTCCATCATCTCAGATAATTAATGCCAAGCTTTCCCACTTGAAGGCCTGATTCGTTGTTTTCCTACTGTGTTCCAAAAACTGTTTTTAACCAAGTTTCAGAAATGTATATAATACAAAGGATCAAGCAGAGGCAGAGAAAAAATTAAAACATTAGAACTAAAACTTGTTCACAAAATGTATGTCATAAGATTCTTCTGTCTAGTTGTTAGAGGTGGTCTACAGATTTGGCTTTGAATTTCCAAGAGTCTAAGTAAGCAAAGGAGGAAATAAACAGTTACAAGGTTTACAGTGGCCATTAAAAAAATAATAAAACCTGGCTATTTAAGAAAAGCAGAAATCTTTCTAATAATCTCTGTTTTCAAAATGATTTTTGGCTACTAATAACTACTTGAAGAGTAGTGTTTGGTGTGGTAAAGTGGCTCCTGCCTGTAATCCTAGCACTTTGGGAGGCCAAGGTGGGAAAATCGCTTGAGGCCAGGAGTTTGAGACTGCAGTGAGTTATGATTGTGCTACTATATTCCAGCCTGAGCAACATAGCAAGACCCTGTCTCTGAATGAATGAATGATTGAGGAGTGTTTATTCAGTTCCCTAAAATTGCACAAAGAAAAGGATTATTAAAATGGTATATTGCAATGTAGCTACTATTTTGAAGCATTATTTTTATAATTTCTCATCACATTTTGGTTTAGATAAACAGAGGATTGGCTGGGCTCGGTGGCTCAGCCTGTAATCCCACACTTTGGGAGGCCGAGGTGAGTGGATTGCCTGAGCCCGAGGGTTCGAGACCCACCTGGGCAACTTGGCGAGACCTCATCTCTACAATAAATCAAAAAATTAGCCAGGTGTAGTAGCATGTGCTTTGTAGTTCCAGCTACTTGGAAGGCTGAGGCGGAAGGATCGCCAGAGCCCAGCAGGTCAAGGCTGCGGTGGCCAGGAGCGACCACTGCATCCAGTCTGGGCGACAGAGTGAGACTTCAATTAAAAAAAAGAAAAAGAAAAACAGAGGATTAATCTCTTTTTAAAATATAATATATAATAATATAAAGCATAATGCTTCCATGGTTTACAACATTTTTTTGGATTCATTATCACATCTTCTTTAGTCCTGGCAAAAATGATGTGAGATGGATGTGACAAGTATCATTATTCGTATTGGATATAAGAGAAACTAGGCATTAGCCCATAGTCATTGGGTAGGGCAAAAACCCAGACTTCTGAACCAAAGGCTACTGCATCCTTATGTGGAGGTAAGGAATTCACAAAGAATCCTGCCTCATCTCCTTGGAAGGTATAAATCAGTCCTTCATGATCAACTTCTCAACAGCCCTTATTTATCGTAACAGTGTTAATCACAGTGCTTAGTTGACTGAACAACTCCTCCTTGCTTTACTTGCAAATAAACATTATTATATAATGTTCATTTCTTCTGTTTGCATTCCTTTTTTTTTTTTTTTTTTGACGTGGAGTCTCACTCTGTCACCCAGGCTGGAGGCCAGTGGCATGCTCATGGCCACTGCAACCTTGACCTGCTGGGCTCCAGCGATCCTTCCACCTCAGCCTTCCAAGTAGTCAGAACTATAGGTGCACGCTACCACACTTGGCTAAGTTTTTTTGTTTTGTCTTGTTTTATTGTAGAGACAATGTCTTGCCAAATTGCCCGGGCTGGTCTTGAAACTGTGAGCTCCAAAAGTGCTGGGATTACAGGCTGAGCCACCGAGCCAGGCCCTCTGTTCACATTCTTAACACAACCTGTTGCTTTTTCCATCCGTTACATACAAGTAAAGTACATGAAATAATTGTCGAAGGCCTCTTGAATAGTCTCCTTTTTTGTTGTTGTTGTTTAAATAATTTATTAATATCTGTTAAGTTAAAATCCCAACGGGGCCTCCAGAATGTTAGGTCAGACCCACCAGGGATGTGGGTGTCTGGTGTGTGATTTGGTTCCACGTGAAAGATGCAAAGAGTTACCCAGAAATTAGACTGGAAAATATAGTTCATTTAAAAAGTAAATTAGAGAGAGAGAGGAGATTCACCTCTCCAAGGGAGAGGAGAGGGGCAAGGCTAGGAAACATGGCGACCGTGACTCAAGGAGCCACAGGGTCAGACTAGGGCTTAACAAAGCAATGACCTGAATAGTCTCCTTTTTAAGCACCTTGTTATCGCTGAGAATTAATTTTAGAGGGAAAAGTCAGGAAATTGTAGAATAAAATCACATGCTACTCTCCTTAACTTCTGCCATTTAAAGATTAGCGTAGAAGTTGGTTATCCTGTGAGCCTTTCCTTCTATTAACAAGAGGCAGCCTTGGCCTCTTTGGGTTTCAAGTTAACTTCGAGAAGACAAAGATCAATCTGACTTGCTGTAACAAGAAACCATATTACCTACATTAAATCGGCAGGTTGCGTGAACCCAACTTTGTCTCAGAGAAGATTTCAAAAAAGTTCCAACATTATACTATCTCTAGTCTCCTCTCAAGTTCATTCCCTCTTGTCATGTCAACAGAGGCAGAAGAGGAAGTTCCTAGAAAAAGTTCCCTCTTTCTAGGGGTTTATCACCTTCTCTGACTTTTATAATATATGATACCATCAATTCTCCAATTATCTAAGATATCCCATAATATTTTAATCCTATGCATTTTCGCTAAGACTAACACAGTTAAATAAAAACTCCTAAATTATATAAATTTTATGTATCAGCTGCAGAACCAGGATGTGGATAAAAGTATTCTAAAAGCAACTGTAAGCACCAAGCTGTTCAGAAGAGAGCCATTGGCATTGGTGATATGGGTAGGGCAAGAGTGAAATACCTGGGTCAAACTGAGAAAGGAGGGAATGGAGTCTGATATTTTTTGTTTTCTAGTGCTCTCGATTCTGATACTATTTGAGTATTCAACCTCTTCTCATTAAAAATAGGTCCTTTTATCATTTAGCTTCTGAAACCCTAACTCATTAACATTCTGAGGTTCTAAACAGGTTACTTCAAGTGAATTCAGTCTAGTGTATAGATTCAGCACCAGATTGTATTCATATTTAAGGTTAGCAAAAGCAGTTGGCCCCAGGTCTCATTCAGATAATTACTGTGAAAAGTAAAACTTTTGACTGGCGTGGAACCTATTTAAGCTTAGGTTTACCTTAGCACCAGTGAAATCCCAACACATATATTAGCCTTGAATATAATGAATCCCTTGTGTCATGGGCTCATTTATGATATTGGTTGACTATCACTTAAATAGTGTTTTTTAAAGAGTATTTTCTTAGTGGGTCAGCTAAAATGGGTACTCTACGTATCTTACCTCATTTAATTCAAGTGAAAATTCAATGAGAAATTCAATGAGATCATTATTACAGGTCCATAATCCCTTACCCAAAACTCTTGCGGCCAGATGATTTCAGAAAGGTAACACAGTGAAATCTGGAGTATCACCCTATAATCAATCACATTAACCTACCTGTAGCAAAACCTATGGCATTCACACAAAATGGGGTAAATCAAGTGAGTTTTTCTTTTACATGTGAAAAAATATTTATAAACCATTTTAACAGTGTTTTATATTCTTGCATTGTGAACAGGATAATGTGATCTCAAGTGTCTCTATCTTACAGATGAGAAAGCAAGCTTAGAAGAATTAAGTAACTTAGGGCCGGGCACAATGCCTCATGCGTGTCATCCCAGCACTTTGGGAGGCCAAGGAGAGAGGATTGCTTGAGCCCAGGAGTTCCAGATCAGCCTAGGCAACATAGTGAGACCTCGTCTCTACAAAAAATCAGAAAATTAGCCAAGCATGGTAGTGCATACTTGTAATCCCAGCTACTCAGGAAACTGAGGAGGGAGGTCACTTGAGCCCAGGAGGTCAAGGTTGTAGTGAACTGTGATCATGCCACTGCACTCCAGCCTGGCAACAGAGTGAGATCTTGACTCAATAAAATAAAAGAGGAATTAAGTAACTTGGCAAAGGCAAGCAAGCAGTGGAGCTAAGATGAAGGCAGGTATTAAAAGTCCAGGCTCTGTGGCTCAGCCTGTAATCCCGTGCCTTGGGAGGCTGAGGTGAGTGGATTGCCTGAGCCCACGGGTTCGAGACCCGCCTGGGCAACTTGGTGAGACCTCATCTCTACAATAAATCAAAAATCAGCCGGGTGTGGTAGCGTGCGCCTGTAGTTCCAGCTACTTGGAAGGCTGAGGCAGAAGGATCACCGGAGCCCAGCAGGTCGAGGCTGTGGTGGCCGGGGGCGGCCACTGCACTCCAGTCTGGGCGACAGAGTGAGACTCCAACTCAAAAAAAAGTCCACTGTGCTAAACTGCCTCACAAGTCTGAATGATGCTGTTTTTAGTGTATAGCCAATGCCCCTGTAACACTGGAAACTTTAAACTGAATTTTACAAGGTAGGAGGCCACAAATCAAATCTTCAGTTGGCAATTAGAGTCTTGGTCTTCATTAGTACTAATGATCTGGGTGTTTTCTCTATTTCTTTTTTAAGTGTTTTAGTGACTCACACAGATGCAGTAAAAATTTCCGATTTTGGTACATCTAAGGAACTCAGTGATAAAAGTACCAAGATGTCCTTTGCTGGCACAGTTGCATGGATGGCGCCAGAGGTGATACGGAATGAACCTGTCTCTGAAAAAGTCGATATATGGTGAGTGGCACCATCTGTGCCAACTAGAAAGCCTTTTCCCACTATCACGCCATTAGCACTTTCTTCCATCGACACTTTTACTTGCCCAGAATATTCTTTGTTGTTACTCACCTCTGCTTGATTTCATCATATTCTCTGAGATACTACTCAGTAGGATGGTATGTGGTGAGAAGGATTAGGGGAATTAGGGTGACTATCCATTCAGTAAATCATCAGTTTTGGGAACTTTCAGAGAAAATGCTGAGCTTTCTAGAAAATTGAAAGTTTACTTCCACATCATTTAGTGTAGAAGTCTTTCTGAAATGTGTTAGGTACTTACATAAAATGGATTAAACAGTTTACCTATTTTGATGACTCAGGTCATGATTACTCATATCAATAATGTTCATTGCTGTGATACAGTGATGTGCTCTAGACCCATTTGAGGTGCTAACACTATTTGCCCTTTTATTGAGCAGCCCCTCTGAGCCATGCTTTTTAAGAAAAATCTTTATTAGCTTTTCTTCTGAGGTTATAGGTCTTTACTATTAACGGTATTTCTCCATAATTGCTTTTCTTCTACCCTTAAAATTGGCAGCTAGTAACTTTTTGGCTTAAAACCAAAATAACAGCATGTGTTAAAATTGCATGTAATGCCAGAGTAAATAGGATAAAGTAGAAATGTGGGATCATTTGTAGTTTGAATAATTATTACCAAAGTGTCCTCCATAGGGATTATATCCATTTTTGTTCTCAGCAGAAATGAGTAAAGGTGTTTTTTCATCAACAAAATGTACTAGCTTTTGGATTTGTGCCAATCATATAGGTAAAAAATGGTATCTTGTGCAGTTTTAATTTGCTTCCTCTTATTATAAGTAATATAATAATAGTATACATGTTTTTATACATGTGTATATAATAGTATACATGTTTTCATATGATTGAGAGCCATTTGTAATTTATTTGTGAACTAATCATAATCTCTGCATATTCTTACCAATTTTTAAAAGTATTTTATATATTAAGGAGAGTAGCCTTTTGTGTAACTTATAGTCACTTTTCACATTTTGTTATTTTATTTATGGTATTTATTTTCCATTGCAGATTTGTAATTTTTAAGAAATCTCTTCTTTATGTTTTTCATTTATTTTCTATTTTGATTCCTGGGTACATGTGCAGGTTTGTTACATAGAAATATTGCATGGTGGTGAGGCTTGGGCTTCTATTGAACTTGTTACCCAGGTGATGGACATGGTATCCAGGGGGTAGTTTTCAACCCTAAGCACCCCCTCCCCACTTTAGGAGTGCCCATTGCCTGTTCCCTTCTTTGTGCTTGTGTGTATACAGTGTTTAGCTCTCACTTATTAAGAACATACGGGCCAGCCAGGCTCGGTGGCTCAGCCTGTAATCCTGCGCTTTGGGAGGCTGAGGTGAGTGGATTGCCTGAGCCTGCAGGTTCGAGACCCACCTTGGCGAGACCTCATCTCTACAATAAATCAAAAAATTAGCTGGGCGTGGTAGTGCACGCCTGTAGTTCCAGCTACTGGAAGGCTGAGGCGGAAGGATCGCCGGAGCCCAGCAGGTCGAGGCTGCGGTGGCCAGGAGCAGCCACTGCACTCCAGTCTGGGTGACAGAGTGAGACTCCAACTCAAAAAAAGAACATACGGGCCAGGTACAGTGGCTCAAGCCCTGTAATACCAGCACTTTGGGAGGCTGAGATGAGAGGATTGCCTGAGCTCAGGGGTTCAAGACCAGCCCGGGAGACTTGGTGAGACCTCATCTCTACAATAAATCAAAATATAAGCCGGGCATGGTAGCGCACACCTGCAGTTCCAGTTATTTGGAAGGCTTAGGCAGAAGGATGACCTGAGACCAGCAGGTTGAGGCTATGGTGGCCGTGAGTGTGCCACTACACTCCAGTCTGGGCAGCAGAGTGAGACTCTGACTCAAAAAAAACAAAAAAAGAACATACGGTATTCAGTTTTCTGTTTCTGTGATAATTCATTCAGGATGATGATCTCTAGCTGCATCCATGTGCTGCGAAGCACATGATTTTCTTTTTTTATGACAGCATAGTATTTTGTGGTGTATATCATACCACATTTTCCTTATCCATTCCACCATTGATGGGCACCTAGGTAGTTCCATGTTTTTGCTATTGTGGCTAGTGTTGCAATAAACATATGCATGCAGGTGTCTTTTTGGTAGAGTAACCTGTGCTCCTTTGGGTATGTACCCAGTGGTGGACTACTGGGTCGAGCAGTAACTCTATTTTTTGTTCTTTGAGAAATTTCCAAACTGCTTTCCACAGGAACTTAACTAGCTTGCAGCAACAATGTAGGAGCATTCCCTTTTCTCTGCATCCTCCCAGCATCTGTTGTTTTTTGACTTTTTAATAAAAGCCATACTGATTGGTGTGAGATGGTATCTCATTGTGGTTTTGATTTGCATTTCTCTGGTGATTAGTAGTGTTGAACACTTTTTCTTTTTCTTTTTCTTTTTTTTTTGAGTTGGAGTCTCACTCTGTCGCCCAGATTGGAGTGCAGTGGCCACTCCCGGCCACCGCAGCCTCGACCTGCTGGGCTCCGGCGATCCTTCCGCCTCAGCCATCCAAGTAGCTGGAACTATAGGCGCACGCTACCACGCCCGGCTAATTTTTTGATTTTATTGTAGAGATGAGGTCTCGCCAAGTTGCCCAGGCAGGTCTCAAACCCGCGGGCTCAGGCAATCCACTCACCCCAGGCTCCCAAGGCGTGGGATTACAGGCTGAGCCACCAAGCCCGAATTGAACACTTTTTCATATGCTGCCTGTACCAGATTTCTTTTTCCTTTTTTGAGCCAGTCTCACTCTGTCACCCAGGCCGCGTACATGGCATGATCACAGCTCACTGCAGCCCTGACCTTCTGGGCTCAGGCAATCCTTCTGGCCCAGATTTCCGAATAGCTGGGACTACAGGGGTGTGCCACCATACCCGGCTAATTTTTTTCTTTTTTTCTTTCTTTTTTCTGAACTGGAGTCTCACTCTGTCGCCCAGGCTGGAGTCCAGTAGCACACTCCCAGCCACCGCAGCCTTGACCTGCTGGGCTTCGGAGATCCCTCTGCCTCAGTCTTCCAAGTAGCCGGAACTACAGGCATGCACTACCACGCCCAGCTAATTTTTGATTTATTGTAGAGACGAGGTCTTGCCAAGTTGCCCGGGTGGGTCTCGAACCTGCAGGCTCAGGCAATCCACTCGCCTCGGCCTCCCAAAGTGCTGGGATTACAGGCTGAGCCACGGAGCCCGGCCTTGTTCCTTTTTTTAGAGATAATATCTCATTATGTTGCCCAGACTGGTCTTGAACTCCCAGACTCAAGCAATCATCTTGCCGCAGCCTTCCAAAGTGTTGGGATTACAGATATGAACCATTGTGCCCAGGCTTTTTTCTTTTTTTGAGTTGGAGTCTAACTCAGTTGCTCAGGCTGGAGTGCAGTGGCACACTCACGGCCACCCCAGCGTCGTCCAGTTGAGCTCCAGCGATCCTTCCGCCTCAGCCTTCCAAGTAACCACAACCACAGGCGCGCGCTACCAGGCCCAGCTAATTTTTGATTGCTTGTAGAGGCGAGGTCTCACCAAGTTGCCTGGGCTGGTCTCGAACATGAGGGCTCAGGCAATGCATTCACCTCAGCCTCCCAAAGTGCTGGGATTACAGACTGAGTCACTGATCCTGGCCCATGCCAGATGTTTTAAATGTAGTTTGATTTCTCATTCTCTCTTTTCATGACTTCTAGATTTCATAGTTTAAAAAGTCCTCATCACTCCAAGGTTATTTCTTAAAACCTCCTCATGTTTTCTTTTAGGTTTCTTATGGTTTAATTTTTCACATTTAAATCTTTGACTCATTTAAAATTTATCTTGATTTTTTTTTCCAGTTGTCTTAACAGCATTTATTGACTAATCAATTTTTCCCACTGGTTTGTGGTGTCACTACTATCCTATATCAAGTCCTATATGTATTTGGTCTATTTCTGGATTTCTAATCCAGCCCATTTATTTGTCTATTCATGCACCAAAGTTAATTATTAAGGCCCTATAATATGTCTCAAATCTGGTAGTATTGGTTATCCCCCCACCCACTGATTTTATTTTTCAGAGTTTTCTGGATGTTTCTGGTTTTCTTTCTTTTTTTTTTAATTTTTAATTTTAAAGATGTGGTGTACAATTCAGGGTTAGGTATACAAATGTTCATTATGCAGGTACCCTTGTTGATAAGGTATGCCCCCCTCCCCGGCAGATTCCCACTACTTCAATCTGTTTCTGTTTTTCTTATAGCTATATTGGAATTTTTAAACTGGAACTTTAAAATTGGAATTTTTCAAAATTGTTTTATTTTATTTTCTTTAAAGTTTTAAAACAGGATTTATTAGTGAGAAGAAGAGAAGGAAAAAGAAGATTCATGGCAGAAAGACTGCCATTGACGAAAAACTGCCGAAATTGGAATTTTAAAGAACTAAAATACAAATCAATCTCTCTGAAATGTCTTCTGTACACGTTCCTGGTATACTGCAGGTCTTTTGGAGTGGTGCTTTGGGAGCTGCTGACAGGAGAGATCCCCTACAAAGATGTCGATTCTTCAGCCATTATTTGGGGTGTTGGAAGCAACAGCCTACACCTTCCAGTCCCTTCCACTTGCCCTGATGGATTCAAAATCCTTATGAAACAGACCTGGTAAGAATATTGTCTCTAAAACAGCAGGGAAATCTCTAATGTGTATTTGGAGCGAATCACCTGGTGGTGAAAAGACTAGGCATCACAGACCAGGAGTATAAGAACCTTGGGTTCAAATACTAGTTCTGCCCTTTCCTATCTGTGCAATTTGGGGCATGTCACCCAAGTGTCAGCTTTCTCATCTGTTAAAATGGAGAAGCCACCTGCTCATAGAGTTGTTGTGTTGTAATTAATTAAAATGTATAAAGAAAGAATTTGGTATGATTATCTTGAAATAGTAGGCCTTATTAAGTGACAGCTATTATTTATTTGCCATTCCTAAGTACTATTATCAAATAGATTACTGATCCTAGATTTCCATTTTATCATTAGTGGTATCACATAATTATATTTTCCTTACTTCAGTATATCTAAACCTTCCATTATACTGTACGAATATAACAGAGTATAGCCAGTGATACTCAGAGCCATTTTAAGATATAGCCATTTTGGAGCAAAAAATCTTTTTCATAAAGTAAAATAAAATCTTCATCCTCCTGAACACAACTTTTGAAGAAACGTATAATCTTTTTTTTTTTTTTTTTTAACTTTCAGGCAAAGTAAACCTCGCAACCGACCTTCTTTTCGGCAGACACTCATGCATTTAGACATTGCCTCTGCAGATGTACTTGCCACCCCACAAGAAACATACTTCAAGTCTCAGGTAAGTTGGGAAACTTTCTATCCAGGTGCTACTGAACAGGCAGACAGGGAACTCTCATGAAAAAGAATAAGTATAGAAGGAGGCCATTCTGATATCACAATAACATCACTCTATTCATTGTGAAACAATAATTATGATACTTCACATAGATGACATTTTAGAGCTTTTTAAGCAATTAACATATATTATTAACAGAATGTCATCCTTATGGGGATTCTGGTAAAAATGTTGAAGCGAAAAGAGGAAAAGAGGATATAAAAATTGTAATGTATATACATTTGAATTAGAATTACTGCTGACCTGAATGAAAATTTGCTTTCTTTGATGTAGAAAAGCTGAAGTACAGAGGCCAGAAAATAAATACCAGGAAGAGGCCAGGCATGGTGGCTCACACCTGTAATCCCAGCACTTTGGGAGGCCGAGGCAAGAGGATTGCTTTAGCCCAGGAGTTTGAGACCAGCCTGAGCAACATAGCGAGACCTCATTTCTATAAAAAAAATTTAAAAATTAGCTGGGCATAGTGGCATGCACCTGTAGTCCCAGCTACTTGGGAGGCTAAGGCAGAAGAATCATCTGAGCTCAGAAAATCAAGGCTACAGTGAGCCGTGATCGTGCCACTGTACTCCAGCCTGGGCGACAGAGTGAGACCTCAACTCAAGAATGAATGAATGAATGAATAAATAAATACCAAAAAAAAAAAAGCCTATGATAGAATTAGACCCAGAGAACCTTTTCTCTAACTTTAAGTGTGTTACCTAGTAACTCCAAATAAAGTATAGTTTAATGTATCTGTTAGCCTCTACTATAAACCATCCCAAAACTTAAGGCTTAAAGCAACAAGCACTTATTTAGCGCACGATTCTGTGGGTTGGCAGTTTGGGATACTCCATTCTGCTGGCTTTGCTTGGGTTCACTCATATGCCTGCAGCAAGTCACCAGGTCAACTGGGAAGTTGGCTGGTCCAGGATGGCCTCCTTCACATGTCTGGTGATTGGCTGGCTGTTAGCTGGAACACCTCGGTTCTCCTCCCTGTGGCCTTCAATCCTTCAGCAGGTCACCTTAGGCTTGTTCATATGGTGTTCTCAGAGTAACAAATGCAGCAAAAGAGTAAGCCCAAAGGCACAAGTGATTTTCGAGCCTGTGTTTGCATTATGCCTGCTAGTGCCCCATTAGCCAAAGCAAGTCACAGGCCAACCCAGATTCTAGGAATTGAGAAATAGGCTTCACCTCTTGACAAGAGAATCTGCAACAGCACATTGTAAGGGCATGGATCTAGAAAGGGGAAGAATTATGGCTATTAAATTAAAATGCTGTAAATTTCCTAATGACTGTTCATCTAACCACTATCAGTATGGATAGGGAGTGGTGGGGATGAGTATGTGAAGGTCCTTATCCCTTCCAGACCCGGCACATCTAAATGGATGGAACTATGACTTTTGAAGTAAATGAGTTGACTAGACATTGTGGTTCACACCTGTAATCTCAGCACTTTGGGAGACTGAGGTGGGAGGATTGCTTGAGCCCAGAAGTTTGAGATCAGCCTGGGCAACATAGCAAGACCTCATCCCTACCCAAAAAAATGAACCAGGCATGGTGGCACATGCCTGTAGTCCCAGCTATGCAGGAGGCTGAGGTGGAAGGATCACCTGAGCCCAGGAGGTTGAGGCGTCAGTGAACCATGATCACCACTGTATCCCAGACTGGGCGACGGTGAAACTCTGACTCAAAAAACTTAAAATTAAAATTAAATTTAAAGAATGTAATAATCTTAAATGATAGCTTTATGCTTATGTAATTTAACTAGATTATTACCTCATTTCTTATTTCTCATATAGCTTTGTCTCATTTAGTATTATTGTTTCTGAAATGAGTTTTTGTAGAGTTAATTGCATCTTCCCATTGACTTCCAGTATCATTTCAGGATTTACTCTCAGAAAAGACATTACCAATTGGTGTTTCAGCCTACTTTCACAGACCCCCACCCC